CTGGGAGCAGCCTGGGACAGTGGGAGGTGTCCCTGCCATGGCAGGGGTGGGATGCAATGGGATGCAACGGGRATGAGCTTTAAGGTCATTTCCCACTCAAACCATTCCAGGATTCCATGATCYGGTGCTCACAGCAGGCTTTGCACACTCACACACCTCAAACTGGGAATTTTGGCTTGCACAGGAATTTAACCCATGGAAGGGAAATTTGGGACAAGTTCTGTTCCTCCCTCCTYTGGGATCAGAGTCTGGATCAGCTGCCCGAGCTGAGAGAGATTCACCTCCAGGTGAGCACGATCCAGGYGTGCCGGACAGGCAGCCAAGGTCACCCAGCAGCAACACCTGGGGGAGGTTTTGGTGCCCAGAGCTCTCTGAGTGTCTCAGAGCAGCAGCTCCTCTCTCAACTGACCAAGACAATTCTGGGCAGAAGGGGAATGCTTGGGTTGGGGTGACCCTAAAGAGCACCACAGTGACAAACCCCTTTGAGTTCCCCACTGTTTCCAGCCCTCCAGTAATCCCTGTGGAATGGCAGGCAGAGCCCCTTGCTCCTGCCCTTCTCTCCTGTGGCTAAGCAGCTGCTTCTCCTGCCACAGAAAGTAAATTTGGGTTGGAATAAGGTGAGGAATAACACCTCAGGGTATGCTGCTCTGACAGACTCAGCCAGGGGAGCAGCTGGATTTTAGGGATGCAATCCTTCCCTGGGTTATTATCCATGGAAATGTCTTCAGTTTTGGAGGAAAACCTGGGCTTGGAATTTGAGTCACTTGTGGTTCAGAGTCCAAAACCCCACCGAGATGGAAAGGCTGGGGAGGAAGGATCCGTGAAAAGCATCCCTTGGGATTGGCAGCTGTCTGGGGATACTGACCCTGCCGCCAGCAAACATGTCTGGGGTTCAGTCAACACTTCACATTCACATCCAGGACAAGTGGAGTTCAAATTCTTCCCAACACAGACTAATTAGGCAAAATATTTAGAAAYGCTGCCATTCCAGTCATGCTTTTGCCACAACATTTGGGGAAACAATGATGCTTTCATATAGCAAGAGCCTCTGAGGCTGGAAAAATCCACATGGACACAAAATGCACACAAAATCCTGCTCAGGTCTGAGAGCTCTGAGGACAGAAATTCCTGGTGCACCCATGCTCAGGCACAGCAGCATCCACATTTTGCTTGCTGGGCACACCTGAGAAGCTTTTAATTGTGTTCAGGAGGGCTTGAGCGGTTCCATAAAAGGGGAATATCGCTGATGGCRGGAGCAGGCAGCTAATCAGACAGGATAGGCTCTGCCAGGGCAGGCAATGTGTATTTACAAAGCTTTTGGAGCTCCTTTGTTGTGCATTCTTTCCACACACCAGCACCGAAAGATCATGTTCACAGCAGCGCCTGCTGCGAGGTGTCAGATTGCCTTCGGATTTTTCCAAATAATTAAAAACTAAACYGAAAGAAAAGTGGGGGAATCCTGGAAACGGGAAACAAACCCTTCCATTTTCATTAGGCTGCGACAGAAGCCGTGAAAAATCCGATTGTCTTYGTGCCATACAAGTGTGCTCCTGCTTTCTTCTTCATCAGAGCGTGGCACGATGAGCTGGGGCTGCGTCACCAGCAGCGTGCCTGAGAGAGCAGCCAGCCGCTTCCAGAAGGGCAGCAGAAGCAAATGCCCAAGAGTTTATGGAGTGACAGAGCCAATTCCTGTCCTGATTTATTGAACCTCCAACTGGAGCACTACGATTGCCCCTCTGCCAAGTGATGCCGTCGGAATGCTGAGTTATTTTCTCATGCGAAAAACCAAAAAGAAGAAGAAGAGGGGAAAAAAAAAAAAGCCTCAGAACTCCAGAACTCTTAAAATTAAGGACCTTCTCTCCTCCTGACAGGCTGCGACAAACCCAGCACATTTTTGGGGATGGCTGTTTTGGCAGCAGTTTTTAGGGCAGGAAGGTGGTTTTGTTGGGGTTTTTGAAATGCAAACAATGGGTTGTGTGGGGCCAGGCAGGTGAGACAGCATCCCGGGCAGTCTGGGCTCCTCCTGCTCCTCCCCTCCCTTCCCCAAGCGCCTCATTCCCTAAACACCTTAAAGMAGAGCTGGCTCCTGCCCTCACTGCTATCAAGTGGGAAGGCATTTTATTTTTCTGGGCTGAAAGAGCCAATTTCTGCCCTTTTATGGACCATTGGAGGACTCGCTGCAGTGGAAACTTTTCTGCAATAAAGGTTGCCTTGTTTATGAGGCCTTTGTGTGGCAGTTGTGGGACCACTCGGTGCACTCTGGAATCTCCTGCAGGCTCTGCTAAGGAAATCAGACCTTCTCATTCCTTCTCCCCGGGATTTGGAATGGGTTTTCCAACACTTCTTTGGCTGCCATCAGCTGATGGATAAACTGAGTTTGTTCCATACAGGAAATCCCAAAAGGGTTTGGGTTGTAGGGACCCTAAATCCCACCCATTGCCACCCCTGCCATGGGCAGGGACACCTTCCACTGTCCCAGGCTGCTCCCAACCTGGCTTGGACACCTCCAGGGATCCTGAGGCAAACACATTTTTCCTCTACAGGGCCTCCCCACCCCCCCAGGGAAGAATTTCTCCCCAATATCCTATCTATCCCTGCTCTCCTTCACCTTAAACCCATTCCCCTGATCCCATCCCATGCCCTTGGCAAAAGCCCCTCTCCAGATTTATCCCCCAAAGGTCTGAGACAACCCAAAAAGCCACCGTTCCCAGGAGCAGTTCCGCTCTCTGTTCAAACCAGTTCCACCAGTACAAAAAAAAGCATCTTTGTGCATCAATCAGCCCTGCCAGACCCAGATTTTTGTTGCCTTCTCTGTTTTGAAACACTGGTTTTGTTTCTAATTTCCAAAAAGCTTCTTTCACCTCTGAGGGAAAGACCAACCTGAAAAAAAAAAAAACAAAAAAAAAACCTGAACAAAAAAATGAGTGAAAAAGCTTTATCAGGGTTACAATAAAACCACAGAACTCGTTTGTCTCTCTGGTTAAAAACACAACTGAGAGGGAAAAAAACATCTACGAGGCAACAAAGACACCAAATATCCCTCTATTTATCTGCCTATCCATCTAATTTTAAACCTCAAACAACACTTAATGCAGCAGCGTGTGGTAGGTGTTACTCTGGGAATGGGAACACAGGATTGAGGCAGTGCTACCCTTCTGCCAGGGTTATTTAAGCAGCAACGACAGATCACAATCACCCAGCAGCCGAGGGTCTCCTAGCACCGCTCACGATGGAGCTGTGAGAATGACAGCACAATCATTCCTGGTGTGTTTGTTGACTCGGAGGAGCTGGAGCACCATGTTTCCATGGATATGGAGCTGCTGGGCCATGGTTTGTGCTTTGCCTATTTAAGGATCGATGCTGAGGAGGAAGCAGGATGCAGTTCCGTGTTTCCTGTGGAGCAGAAACATCAATATTCGACAGAGCCAGCTCTGGGCATGGACAGACARCTGGGGGTCAGTCCAGAGCTGCTTTTATGGGGTGAAAATGAACTGAAAACCCCTCAGTCCCTGGAGGAATCCTGGAGTCACAGCAG